ATCTCGACAGAGAGGACGGCAAGTACAAAGCCCCTGAGATAGGATCATGCATGACTTGCTCAAGGAACAGGGGTAGAGAGAAGTAAGCAGAAAGTGAGTCGTGGCAGGCAAGGCCATAGAACCCATGGGGAGCCAGGTCCTGTCAGATCCTGGAAGCCGGAGAAATGCTTCGGATTTTACTCTGAGAGAAAGGGACAGCCTTTGGAGGTTTTTTTTAGGCGGGGAGAGGGGAGTGGGATTGCATCTTTTTCTTTATTTTATTATAAAGATGTAGGGCACAAGTTAGGCTCAGGAACATAAATCAAGTGTGTGCAGGTGAAGTGTGGGCCTCCAGCTGGTCCTCACTTCCCCTGGTTTAGGACTAGGCACCCTTTATGTTGTTGTGTGCCCTCCACCCTCCCTCGCTCTCCTGGCAGTGGCCCACAACTGTCGATTCCTCCCTTGTGCTGTTGTGATTAATGTTCAGGTCTCATTTATGAGTGAGAACATGTGGTATTTGGTTCTTTGTTTCTGTGATAGAGCCCTAAGAATGATTGTCTCCAACTCCATCCGATTTTCTGAGAAGTCCATAATTCTGTCTGTCTTTATGGCTGTGTAATATTCCATTGTGTCTATGTACCACCTTTTCTTTATCCAGTCTGCTTTCCATGGGCAGTAGGTTTGGTTCCATGTATTTGCTTTCGTGGCAGTAAACATGCGTTTGCAGGTGTCTTTTTTTAAAGAACGATTTGTGTTCCCCCGGGTATATTCCTGGGAGAAGGGGTTGCTGGATTGTAGGGAAGGTCACTTTCTAGTTCCTTTAGATATCGCCACACTGTTTCCATAGAGGTTGGACTAATGTGAACTCCAGCCAACAGTGTAAATGTGTTCCCTTTTCTCCACACATACACCAGCATCTGTTGTTTTTTGATTTATTAATGATGACCATCCTTACTGGGTGAAGTGATATCTCAGTGTGGTTTTGGTTTGCGTTTCTCTGATAATTAGTGAGGCTGAGCATTTTTTCATGTGTCTGTTGGCTGCTCATATGTCTTCTTTTGAGAAGTGTCTCTTCATGTCCTCTCTCCCCATTTTTTAATAGAACTGGTTTGTTTTTTCCTTTTCTTTTTGTTTTTTGTTTTTTTGGGCTTTCTTGAGTTCCTTATAAATCCTGGATGTTAGGCCTTTGTGCAGTACACAATTAGCAAGTATTTTTTTCTCATTCTATGGGTTGTCTCCCCGGTTTCTTGATGGTTTCTTGATGGTTTCTTTTGCTGTGCAAAAGTTTGATGAGGTCCCACTTGTTTATCTTATCTTTTATGGCATACACTTTGAGGATTAGATCAAGATTTGGTTGCCTGCTCCAATGTGCATAAGGGTGTTTCCTGCGCTTTCTTCTAAGATTCTTATAGTTTGAGGTTTTATGTTTAGCTCTTTGATCCATTTAGAGTCAATTTTTAAAATATGGCAATAGGTAGGAGTCCTGTTTCATTCTTCTGCATTTGGTCAGTCAGTTTTCTCAGCATCATTTGCTAAATAAAGTCTCCTCTCCCCAGTGGTTGTTACTGATGGCTTTGTCAAAGATGAGTTGGTTGAGAGATCGAGTTTTTGCTTCCGGAATCTCTGTCCTGTTCCATTGGTCTATATGCTTATTCTTGTGCCAGGACCAGGCTGTTTTGATTATTTGTAGCCTTATCGTGAAGTTTAAAGTCTGGAAGTGTGATACCTCCTGCTTTGTTCCTTTTGCTGAGGATTATTTTGGCTATTCACACTCTTTTTTGTTTCCATATGAATTTCTGTATTATCATTTCCAGGTCTGAGAAGAATGATGTTGGCACTTTGATGGGCATTGTGTTGAATTTGTAGGTTGCCTTGGGTAGGATGGACTTCTTGATAATATTGATTCTTCCAATCCATGAGCATGGAATGTTTTTTCATTTGTCTGTATCATCTTTGATTTTTTTGAGCTGTGTTTTTTAATTCTTGTAAAGGTCTTTCATTTCTGGTTAGGTAGATGGCAAGACCCTCCCTCCCCCCTTCTTTCTTTTGCTGTTGTGAGTGGGATTGTGCTTTTCATTTGGTTCTCTCTCTGTTTGTTACTAGTGTATAGAAATGCCCCTGCCTTTTGCATGTTGATTTCATACCCTCAAACTGTATCAAAGTTGTTTAGCAATGCACCGAGGCTTGTGACGGACTCCCTTGGATTTTCTTTATTTCTTTCTTTTTTTTTTTATAAAGATGTGGGGTAAAATTCAGGGTTAGGTATGCAAACGCTGATTATGCAGGTGCCCTTGTTGATGAGGTGTGCCCCTCCCTTCCCTAACAGTTTCCCTCAACTGCCACTCCCCCCGCCCCAGACAGTTTCCCACCACTGCCAATCCCTTTCTTACAGTATTATGATAATTGTTCAAGGTCCACTTATGAGTGAGGACATATGGTACTCTGTTTTTTGTTTCTGTGATAGATCACTGAGTATGATCAACTCTAACCCTTGGGTTTTCAGTGTATAGAATCGTATCATCTGCAAAGGATAACTTAACTTTCTTTTCTATTTGGATACCCCCCAGTTTCCTTCTCTTGCCTAACTGCTCTAGCCAGGACTTCCAACACTATGTTGAACATGAGGTTTGAGAGTGAGCAACTTGTCTTGTTCCCCTTTTCAGGGGGTGTGCTTGTAACTTCTGTCACTGAGTCAGATGTTGACTGTGGGTTTATCATAGATGGCTTTTACTGTTTTGATGAATGCTCCTTCAATGCCTAGAAGTTCAAGGGTTTTTATCAAGAAAGGATGCTGGATTTTGTCGAAAGCTTTTTCTGTGTCTAATGTTGTAATCATGTGGTTCTCATTTTTACATGTTAATGTATTGAATTACGTTTATGGTCTTGTGAATGTTGAATCAGCCCTGCATCCTGGGAATGAAGCCTACTTGGTCACGGTGGATGATTTTTTATTTTTATTTTTTAGTTGGAGTCTCACTCTGTCGCCCAGACTGGAGTGCAGTGGCCGCTCCCGGCCACCGCAGCCTTGACCTGCTGGGCTCCGGTGATCCTTCTGCCTCAGCCTTTCAAGTAGCCGGAATTACAGGCATGCGCTACCACACCCGGCTGGTTTTTTGATTTATTGTAGAGGGATATGAGGTCTCGCTGCCCAGGTGGGTCTCGAACCCGCGGGCTCAGGCAATCCGCTCACCTCAACTTCCCAAAGGTGCGGGATTACAGGCTGAGCCATCGAGCCCGGCTGGTGGACAATTTTTGAGATGTGTTTTTAGATCAGTTTGCTAGGATCTTATTGAGAATTTTTGTATCTATGTTCATCAAGGATATTGCCATGCAATTCTCTTTTGTTGATGGGTCTTAGCCAGGTTTGGGTATCATTGTGATGTTGGCTTCGTAGAATGATTTGGGAGAGAGGTCCATCTTTCTCGATTGCCTGGAATACTTTCAATAAGATCAGCTTGTTTTTGTATGTTTTGTAGAAAGCCATCTGGTCCAGAGCTTTCTTTTGTAGATAGATTTCTCATGACAAAGTTGATTTCCTGGGTTGTTATTGACCTGTTTAGGGCTTCAATTTCTTCTTGTTTCAACCTTGGAAGGTTATATAAAGTCAGAAAGTTCTCTATTTCCTTTGGGTTTTTGAGTTTATTTCTGTATAGGTATGCATAGTAATCTCTGATAATCCTATGAATTTCTTCTGGGTCAGTTGTGACTTCATCTTTTGTGTTTCTAATTGTATTTATTTGGGTTTTCACTCTCTTTTTCTTAGACAGTATGGCTGGGGGTCTGTTGATATTTGGAGGATTTTGAGCTGGAAAGTGACATGGTCTGGGTTATGTTTTAACAGAATTACTCTAGTTGTTGTACTGAGACTGAAACTGTGTAGAAAGGGCAAGGGAAGAAGCATGGAGATGAGATAGGTAGCTGCTAAAGTGATCCAGGCAGAGATAATGATGGTCCAGGGTAAGGAAGGTGGTGAGATAGGATCAAGTTCTAAGTCTATCTGGACAGTGGAGCTATCAGGATTTGCTATAGAGGATTGCAGGATAACTTAAAGGCTTTTGTCCTAAGCAATTGGAAAAGTGAAGTAGCTACCACCTGATATGGGAAAAACTACCAATAAGAGAGAATTTAATTCCGGGTGAAACTCAGTTTTGGAATCCTCTAGCATTGAGATGCTTATAAACATTTAAGGGAAAAGAAGGCAAGAAGGCAATCAGATAGTAAAGTCTGAACTTCAGAACAGAGGTCCAGACTGGAGTTGCTGGGAATGATCAGCATATCGGTGAGACTTAAAACTGTGAGAACTGGGAAAGTGAGCGTAAATGGGAACCTGCAGAGGGCCAAACCTTGAGTCCAGGAGTTTGGGGAGATGAGGAGGAACCAACAAAAGAGACCAAAAAGCAATGAGCAATGAAGTTTGAGGAAAACCAGAGACTGGTGTCTTGGAAGTCAGGGAGCATTTGCTTGCCCAAATCTATTCCTTCTTGGAAATGGAAATCCAGTCTTCAGTTTTGGTTGCCACATTCCCTGGTAATCTCAGGTACAAATGTAACACTTACCAATATTAATCTAATGTGAGAATAAGTGAACATCAGTGGAATATTTGAAAACAGAATACAAAACTATTTAGAAAAACTGAATTTCAACATAAAGTGTAAGTATGTAAAAATCTTACCATTCACTGCCCATAGCTCAAGAATCAAAGATTCCTTCACTTTTCAAACTCTGGAATGGAATAACTTTGGACATAAGAGGGTACTTTATCTTTTCTTCTGCTTATGTACATATAAAAAGGAATTTAATAAATAGTTGTACTCTGGTTTTATAACTGGTTTTTCCCACTAATGCTTAGATTTTCCTGACAATTGAGAATATCTATACTTTTGCATCTGTGATGAAATTTGATTGTTAGGTGACATGTAAAAGTCTTGCTGGGAAAAGCAGAAATAATTATGATTTTTATCAGATATTTTATTGTAATTGAAAGGAGTTTAATTTCATGCGAATTTTTTTTTCATATACAGGTTTCTGAAGGATTGTCGTTTTTGCATAGCAGTGTGAAAATGGTTCATGGAAATGTCACTCCTGAAAATATAATTTTGAATAAAAGTGGAGCCTGGAAAATAATGGGTTTTGATTTTTGTGTATCATCAACAAATCCTTCTGAACAAGAAGTAATGAAAGTTTTAGTTTTCTGATTTTTTAAAGGGGAAATTTGTGATTGTATCTCGAATGGGACTAGAGATTTTATAAGTCTTGTAAGTGCGTATTAATAGGCTATGTTATGTTTACATCTACAGCTTTATAGAAAATTTCTCGTGTTCATTGCTCCTAAGAATATTCTTCAGCTTAGTGAATGTCAGTTGAAAAAGGGTGCCAGAGTTAAATAAATTTGAGACTCTTGGGTTAAGTGGTTTTCCCCCTTAGAACATCAAATATGCTAGCACGACACGGTGAATCCACAGCAGCGTTTCCCTTATTTATTGGCCCATACAGTCTTCTTTAGGGGGCGTAATAGCAACAGAAACAATGATAGCAGTAACTAACATCTCTTGAGACACTTTTCCAAACACTTCTTTTGTCCTTATTTAATCCTCATAATAACTCAGTGGGATATAAGGATAATACAGATGAGTGATTATGCTCATAGAATAAAGTAACCTGTGTAAGTTTAGGTGGGTGGTGAGTGGTAGAGCCAGAATTTAAACCTAGTCTTTCTGCTTTCAAAGCACCTGTTTCTTGGTGATTAGGATACTTGCCTGTACGTATTTAAAGAAACACTGCATTAGATCGATTATGTTTTCTGTTGATTGTGTCCTTATAGAAGTCCCTTTGTGATATGGCACCTTATGCTATATTTTAAGTTTTTATTATATGTGGTTGTTAAAGGGACCGTGGTTTGACCTAAAATAGATTGGAATTTAAGTAACAATTATTAAGATAATCAGAAAGAATTAGTATTGGTTGAGTACATATAGGCATTCTGCTAGGTCCAGCTTTCACACATCTGGTTAATCCTTACTACAGTCTTTTGAACCTTTTGACTAAATCACATAGCTAGTTAGTGAAAGATCAAATTTCAAACAACAGTTTCTACCTGAGCCCATAAAACTTGAAGCCTGTGTATCACAACACATGAGCCAGACCTTCACACGTTTTATACTGCATCTTACATTGATAATTTGTCTTTTTGAACTTATTCTCAGAGTTGTCATATGTACTTTTCGGATTTGGGGACTTGGGAATTTTAGGATTGAGGGTGTGGTGGTAGCATTTTTACTTGTATGACTGAGTACACTTTTAAAGATAGATTGCTACTGCTTGATAGTTTGCTTTAATTCAAAATATTTAATCTGTGTAATCTCATTTTTGTCTTATTGCAGCCTAAGTTTCCTTGTAAAGAATGGGACCCAAATTTACCATCATTGTGTCTTCCAAATCCTGAATATCTGGCTCCTGAATACATACTTTCTGTGAGCTGTGAAGCAGCTAGTGATATGTATTCTTTAGGAACTGTTATATATGCTGTATTTAATAAAGGGAAACCTATATTTGAAGTCAACAAGCAAGATATTTACAAGAGTTTCAGTAGGCAGTTGGATCAGGTATTTGCCCATAAAGATTTGCTGGCATTAACAATTTATTAAATGTTTCTTTAATTTTTTCCCCCTAAAATGTGTTCAGAAAATTCTCTAAATGAGATAAGTGTCTCATTTTAAGTATGCATAAAATCAATTTAATATAAGTAATTCTAAGGCTGCACGTGTTGGCCTATGCCTTTAATCCCAGTGCTTTGGGCAACCAAGTGGGGAGGACTACTTGAGCCCGGGAGTTTGAGACCAGCCTGGGAAATATAGTGAGACTCAATTTCTACAAAAAATTAGAACATTTAGCCAGGCATGGTGGCACTCATCTATAGTTTCAGTTACTTGGGAGGCTGAGGCAAGAGGATTGCTTGAGCCCAAGAGTTTGAGGCTGCAGTAAGCTATGATCACACCACTAGTGAGACTCCTATAAATAAAGAGGACTAGTTAAAGTTTGTCACTATAATTTTAATTATGGCATTAGCTAAAGTAAATATAAATACCGGGCATTCTAGGAATTTTAGGAATAGAAACAATTGCAAGTATTAAAGATAAGTGTTATTCTATTTACAAATTTATTGAGTAAATTTTTCAAAGTTTCCTTAAATAAACTATTAATAAAAGTGCATATCTTTTTGAATATTTTATACTCATATTTAATGTTATCACTCTTTTGAATAGTTGAGTCGTTTAGGATCTAGTTCACTTACAAATATACCTGAGGAAGTCCGTGAACATGTAAAACTACTGTTAAATGTTACCCCAACTGTAAGGCCAGATGCAGATCAGATGACAAAGGTGAGTACACATGCATTTCTGCCCTAGGTGTAAGGACAAGAAATGATTTAAAGTAGATTAAGCTTTTCTAAAGCAAAACTTAGTTCAGTTAGTTCCCAGATAGCATCTACATTCTTAAATGCGTTAAGTATTCAACTTCTTTTAATCTTGGTCAGCTAAATAGTTGATGTAGGTAAGTACTCTGAAAGGAAATGAAAATTTTGAATAAGCAGTCTTAACAGTCACAGTTAAGCATGTAGACTTTCTGGACTCCCAGAGAACTCATGTCCCCTGTTTCACTCATACAACCATGGATTTTAATAAATAACTGATGTTCTTTATTTCTTCAAGATAGTCTGTTTAATCTTTCAGTATTTTGGATTCATGTAAAAAAAAAAAAGTTACAACCCAGCCAACTCACATGTATGGATTCTGAGGGTTTGAACTTGAAAGGAAAAACCAATTTATTATTCTGATTTTATAGTCAGAAATTCTATTAAAGTGGTCTTTAGCATTTTCTATTTCTGATTTTTTTTTCTTTACCATATTGTGGCAGTTTCAGATGTGAGAAGGACTTTTAGCTTACATCAAAATACTTTATTTTCTTATTTTTAGATTCCCTTCTTTGATGATGTTGGTGCAGTAACACTGCAATATTTCGATACCTTATTCCAAAGAGATAATCTTCAGAAATCACAGTTTTTCAAAGGACTGCCGAAGGTTCTACCAAAACTGCCCAAGGTTTGTTGTTCAGTTTCTTATTACAGTCAGGATTTTAGAATTTCAGGTTTATTTTGACTTACTACAATGACTTTTCCAAGGAAATAATAGAACTTTTGCTTGAGGTAATAAATGACTGAAGGGCTGCATACCGAAGCCACAAGTTTAGTAGACCTTTTTTTGCATGGTCCCAAACCAAATAGGATAAAAACATTTAGAAGGGTAGGATATTACCTGTGCAAAGGCAGCAGTTGGACCTAAAATGTCAGAAGAAAAGTCCATGAGCTGTCATTGTTTAGTTTATTCTCTCACCAGCAGTTAAAGGGACACTTCTATTGACTTTCAATTTTTTTAAACTCTCCATCTCTGACTTATTAAATTATAAATGTAATATATCCTTAAAAATGTTGGTAAATACTAAAGAAGGCACTAATTAGAAAACTAGTAATTCCTGGTTGCAAAACATTTAACCTATCAGGTATTCATTGGTTACCTACTATCTGTCTAGCCCTTTACTTATGGAGAGTAAAGAGAAAACATGAAGTATTGTCACTCTTATAGTAAGTGCCCCTATAGTAAGTGTAGGTAGAGTTAACATGCATGAAGCAACAATTAACAGTACAGGGCAGTGTTTCAGTTGTGTGATATGGATGATGAGTAATGAAGGAATTAAGAGGAAACACATATATCAGTGAAGACTAAATAGGGAAGGTTTGTTAACAGTAGGGAGACCATTTGTGGTCTTTTACCCATGACCTTCCCAGGGCATGCTGTTTGTCCTGTGTAATTGGCAGTAGCATCCCATTTTGCTCTTAAAAGTGTACCAGTTTCAATAATTAATTATATGGTCACCTTACCTAAAAGGATTGGAGGTTTTAGACTTCAGTGTTATGACTAAAGACCTGAAATGCATTTCAGTTTTTCATAAAAACATTTTTGCCTTTCAGCGTGTCATTGTGCAGAGAATTTTGCCTTGTTTGACTTCAGAATTTGTAAATCCTGACATGGTACCTTTTGTTTTGCCCAATGTTCTACTGATTGCAGAGGAATGCACCAAAGAAGAATATGTCAGATTAATTCTGCCTGAACTTGGCCCTGTATTTAAGCAGCAGGAGCCAATCCAGGTATGTTGTAGGTATTTTGCATATTTATCTGTTACTCATGATGATATCACTGAAAACCAAAGGAATGAATATATGACTTTTAAAAACTGAAGTAAGTATATGAGACTCTTTCCCCGTGAGTCAGAAAGCTATTTTGTGTGTATCTGAAGTGGACCATTTAAAAAATTGTAATTGCACTTTGCAGGTAAATGTCCACAGTTCTCCATAAGTTACTGTCTCCGAAAATAAGTTGCACTGAAATTTTGCATGTGCTGTACTGTTCTTTAAATACTATATATATTTTATGTATGCTTCATTGAAATTATAGGTTTGGAAAAAAATATTTTTCTCCTACCCTGTTAAGTGTTTTTGTTTTGTTACTTAAGTGTTAATTTGTAGATGCTTTGTGCCAGTTGTTTCTCTTTATTTTATTGCTAATAACTACTTTCACTAGAAGAGAAAAATGCTTACAGCACCATGGAAATAATGTGTATGTGTATTGTAAGTGAAAAAAGTAATATCTCTAATGTAGACTCTATTACAAGATTTATTTGCCAGATGCGAGGCAGTCTTGGATTTAAAAACAGTGGGGCTACACATCTGGGTATGAATTCGGTCTTAGATTTTCAAGTGTGACTTGAGTCGTCACAATCTTAAAGTTTCTATCTCCTCATTTCTAAAATTTAGGGGTTGTTGAGATGAAATGTAATCTTCCGGCACATAGTGAATATTACATGTTTCTGCCATTGTATGGCAATAACTTATTGAATAGCTATCAACTATCTGATTTTATGGTTTTGTGACTCTGTAGTCCTTCCCTTGAAAGAAGGGGAACAGAAGGAAGTCTGGTGGCGAGGGAGGTGTAGGCTTTGAAGCAGGGTTAAGAGTCAGGGTGTCAGGAGAGAAAGATGTTGGAGCCACGTGTTTGAACCTAAGCTATGTGTCAGTCAAGGTGGTATGCTAAGGAATCTATCATCTGAATTCTTATTTGCCTCCATTCTGTGATAATTCGTTTTTCCCTTAGTTTTCCAACTAAAAATCCTTGCTGAATATTTTTAATTGAGCCTTGGCAAAACTAAGCATTTTGCATGAATTAGAAGCAGCAGGATGTTCCTTGTAATTTAGGCATATAGAGATGGGGTAAAAAAAAAAAAAAAATGACAGGGACAATTAAAAGCATTTTTTTTTCTAGAAATTCAGGGACAGTTAAAAGCATTTTTTCTAGAATTGAGAAATAATGTTTTTTAGAGATGCTGTCTTGCTACTTTTTGCCCAGGCTGAACTTGAACTCCTTGGCTCCAGTGATCCTCCTACGTCAGCCTCTCGTAGCTGGGACTGCAGGCATGTGTCACCATGCCAGGCTCCTAGAATTTTTCCTTACATTCCTTCTCATTTCTGTACTTTCTCATTTTCTCTTGAACTTCTTAGAAGAAAAGTGAGAAAATTTACTTCTTTGGGACATCTTACTTTGCTGCCCTCATACTTATTTTTTTACCCAGTAGTTTTCCATATAGTTGGAATTTGTGGGTAAGTTATATATTACTGTAGATATGTGAGAATTAGGTAATTAGTCTTTATTTAAATGTTTAAACTGAGAGCAGATGTTCAATATTATGCCTCCGGAAGAGTAAGAGACTTGATTTGTATGTTTTTATCTTCCATGCCTTCAGGCTAGCAACATGGTAAGTGTCAAAATACATAATTTATTCTTTAGAAAAAAATTTAAATTTGGCAAATATTGAATGCCCTAAAGATTCTAGATTTTAATAAATTACTTATCTTTTTATAAACAGATTTTGTTGATTTTCCTACAAAAAATGGATTTGTTATTAACCAAAACCCCTCCAGATGAGATAAAGAATAGTGTTCTACCAATGGTTTATAGAGCACTAGAAGCTCCTTCCATTCAGATCCAGGTATAGTATTTGATTTTTTTTATGATGATTTTGATTCTTAGAAGAAAGTACTAAAGTACATTTTGGGTTTAAGTCATAACATATTTTATGTAAAACTCAATAGTAAATAACTATTTAATAGCATTACTGATATATTTTTATTAAAATGTATTTACTTCTAATTTAAATAATCAGTTGATACAGACCTGTATTATGAAGTAGATTTGTATAGCTTTTAATTTATCAGAAGTATACTATTATGGAAGAAGGTTTGATGTATTGTAGTTTGGATTGTATACCTTCTTCTTTCTACTTCTTTCTAAGTGGATGATTATGAACAAAAACTCCAAAGATATTTGTGCCTTTTTTGTATGAAAATATTAATTAGGTATTTCCATACTCATCATTTTCTTTCATGCTTGGTAACTCAGTTTTCTACTTAGAAATGCCATTCCAGCCGGGCTCGGTGGCTCAGCCTATAATCCCGCGCCTTTGGGAGGCTGAGGTGAGTGGATTGCCTGAGCCCGCAGGTTCGAGACCCGCCTGGGCAGCGAGACCTCATCTGTCTCTACAATAAATCAAAAAAATTAGCCGGGCGTGGTAGTGCATGCCTGTAGTTCCAGCTACTTGGAAGGCTGAGGCAGAAGGATCGCCGGAGCCCAGCAGGTCGAGGCTGTGGTGGCCGGGAGCGGCCACTGCACTCCAGTCTGGGCGATAGAGTGAGACTTCTACTCAAAAAAAAAAAAAGAAATGTCGTTCCTTCTGCAGTGAAGCTAATTCTAGCAAGTAGCTAGAAAAGCAGACAGTAATGTAGTGTGACCATTTTTAATGCATTTACAGTCGTGCTTTTGTCCAACAAAGGTGGTTTTAAAACACTGTAGACTTTACCAAATTGTTCATTCCATAGTCTTTGCTATTAACATTTTGGTTCTGTGAGCTTTCTGGAAAAAATTTTTATCACTGTTGAAAGTGTAATTTAGTTTACCTTTTTTTATTCTTTGAGAATTATATATTTATGTTCGAGCATCTCTCTGTGCAATGTTTTCATACTTGAAAGATTATGGTCTCTTTGCTAGTACAGACATTCTAATAAAATCGAATTTTCATTGTAATTAGTTGGTTTTTTTGAGTCAGGGGTTTCCCTGTGTCACCCAGACTGGAGTGCAGTGGCACGATCCTAGCTCTCTACATCCTTGACCTCCGAGGCCCAAGCAGTCCTCCTACCTCAGCCTCCCAAAGTGCTAGGATTATAGGCATCAGCTATCATGCCTGGCCTAAAAGCCTTTTTCTTACTGTGAACCTAATAGTACCTATTTTGGGTGACTTTTTGGACTCGTTTCAGTCTTTAATGTTTACTAAGTTCTTTTTATTGTTCAAGGCTGTGAGGTCAATGTTAAAGCTTTTTTCCTTACAGTTAAATCATGCCACTTCCTTAAAGGTAAGGATATACTTTGTCCAGATGACATGGGATGAGCAGGAAAGGTGTACTTATGTCTACTTTTTATTTCTTTCTAAAGAAATAGTTAATTATAGCCTCTCAAAACATTCCAGACCACGCTGGTTTTATATTCAGTGAGATTAAAGAGGACGGGGGAAGGTGGAGTGACGGGAAAGTCCATTTTTCTTTATAGTTAGTTCAGCTGATAATTGTGAGCCAGTATTTTAGATTTTATTGTACTTCAAATTGACTTTTGAAACTTCATTAAGTTTTGGAATCCAGCATTTCTGATATTATTCAATGTGAGTCTTTAGTGACCAAGTTAATTGCTTCAACACTGTTAAGAAGCTGGGGTGTGAAAGCACATCTAAGTGGTGGGGAGGGCCCTTGGGAGGCAGAACTTCTGTGTGTCGAAGGCCGGAAGGTGACTTCTGAAATGCGTTTTTCAATGGAAGTCTTCGAAATGAAGTGTGCTTAGAAGTTTTTAAGAGGCAAGAGATGGTTCTGAAAACATTTAGAAAGGTAGAAGATAGTTGGCAAAAGGTAGCGCCCTTGAAAGAGGTGGTATAAAATTGTCTATTTTTCAGTTTTGGGAAGTTAATTCACATTTTAGATTAAACATAGAAACTGTGTTCATTACCGCCCTTCCCCCTCCCCATTATAGAGAAAGTGTAAAAGTAAGCAGAAGTCCTTGAGACTTTGCTCCCTAGACTACCTCACAGTGTTTGGGGTTTTTTTCTTTTTTTTCTTTTTTTTTTTTGAGTTGGAGTCTCACTCTGTCCCCCAGACTGGAGTGCAGTGGCCGCTCCCGGCCACCACAGCCTCGACCTGCTGGGCTCTGGCGATCCTTCCAACTCAGCCTTCCAAGTAGCCGGAATTACAGGCATGCACTACTACACTCGGCTGATTTTTTTTTTTTTTTTTTATTGTAGAGATGAGGTCTCGCTGCCCAGGCGGGTCTCGAACCCGCGGGCTCAGGCAATCCACTCACCTCAGCCTCCCAAAGACCCGGGATTACAGGCTGAGCCACCGAGCCCGGCTGGTTTTTTTTCTTTTTAATCTTCTTAAGTTCTTCATTCTGTCTCCTCCTTGGGAGAGAACTCTCCCTTCCCTTAGCAAAGTGATTTAGTTAGAGTTTAAGATTCGCCTCTGTAACCTCCTGCTTTGAGTGGTCATCTAGCATAGTGCTTTCCAGGTGCTCCTTAGGAATACAGATACTCCTTCGCTGGAAGTTTCTCCTTCTCTGTCTCTGGCAGGCTAATCTTCTCTAAGGAGACCCCCTCTGGTAGCAGGAGCATAATGTCTCTCTGATGACTGACTCTTGCCTATCCCTTTCTCTCATCTATGGAACATGGTTTCTTAACCGTGGCTTGTATTCCTTATCCACACATTATGTCACCCACTTAATTACTTATAGTTCTGAGTGAATGCAAACATACAGCCTTCTTATGTCTGTCTGCCTTTTGCGAAATTTGGCTAAAGTATTTCAAATATATGGCAGTGTTTTAATAGCAGATTCTTAGCAGTTGATTTATTTCTATCAGCTAACCGTAAGTAAATGTCTTTAGGTTTACCTGACATTGTTAATAGCTCCTTCCCTGATACACATTTGTATTTCCATTTTCCTCAGTCTGGTAATTTTTTTTTCTATGCTTTGCTACACGGATCTTTCTGTTCTTATAAGGTTTCTGAGAGGCAGGTACTTCAGCCAGTTAGTTCTCCATTCTTTTCTTCTTTTTCTTTTCTCATTGAATTCCCCAACCCCAGGCCTCCCCCACTTGTTCTTTGAATTGCCATTCGGGATTCCCACTTAAAATCACTTATAGTACGGTACCACATTCGTTAACAGTAATTTAAAACAATTTTTCCATGTCCATAAGTTTTGTTTGCTTTAAGTTTCAGAATTTGGAATTACTTAAAAATATAAAGAAAATCAATTATTTCTCAGAGATGATTATAGTTAACATTTCTAGATAGCTCGCTCTTGTCTTTTTTCCTAAGCCTGTAGACAGACACATGTACACACACATTTTTAAAAATGGAATTATGTAATACTGTCTTAATATATTATATAATACTATCTTATCACATTTTGTCTTCAATATTATTAAACACTCTTTTAAAATGTTTTTAAAAATACATTTGTTTTATATCTATCATATTGATATATGTAACAGCTAAAAAAATCTTTTATTTAAAAAGAATATTTTAGCATGACATCATACTTGATTTTCCCTCATTGTGAAAGATAGCAACACTTATGTGTTTCTGTTTTAAAATCTAAATGAAGACTATAAGGGAAAGAGATCGGGAATGAGACCAGGGAGTTTTGATACTATATGTTAGTTATTATGACCTAGTGTGACTTTGAGTAAGATCTTCCAAACTTTCTTCCTCATTTGTAAAACCGAAAAGTGATGATAACTATTCATTTTTCAGAGGGTTGTTGAAAGGATCAAGTAATATACATGACAGTTTATTTCAAACTATATGACAATTTGGCCATGCAAATGCACATTTTTTTAAAATATGTGAGAGAAAGGATGAGAGAGTTCTTTGTCTAAGATTGATCCAATTTATTTTCCTAATAGGAGCTCTGTCTAAACATCATTCCAACCTTTGCAAATCTTATAGACTACCCATCCATGAAAAATGCTTTGATACCAAGAATTAAAAATGCCTGTTTACAAACATCTTCCCTTGCTGTAAGTAGTTGCATGTTAACTTTTGTTTTCCTTTTGCTTGTCAGTGGTTTAAATCATTTTCTTATTGTTTAATAACCCTTTTATAGATCGTTGATATATTTCATCTTGGCTATAGCTATCATGTATATAGTACTATAAAAATGAGCTAGTTTTCTATGATACATAATCTACAGTATTGTATTCCTAACCTTACTCCCAATCCTCTAACTTTGAGTGATTCAGTGGAAAAGTTGAGTGATTTTTTCTTAATCCTTTTCTGCTTTAAGTTAATTAATTTTGTTGACAGTTTAAAAATAATCATGAGAGTGTAATTTGGTATGTAAGCCTAAAAACCTTTTGAATGACTTCCTTTTATAAATTGCCTTTATTTTTAGTCACCTCTAATTTCTTTTATTCTCTACTTATTCACTTTCAAAAAAAGTAGAACTATATTTAATATGAATACAAGTAGCTGTACTAAGAAATGTAGACCAAGAGTAGTTGCCTCCTTTGAATATACAATTTTAACACTAGGTTACTTGTTTGTTAGAAAAGTTAGATTAAATAACATAGTTCTCATTATGTCATATCAAAAGTAATGAATGTCCTCACCTTTTTCTCTAACACCAAGTCTAATAATTTGCCACATTGGTATTGCTTTCTTTCTTTTTTTTTTTCTCTTGACTTGGAGTCTCACTCTTTCACCCAGGCTGGAGTGCAGTGGCGCACTCACAGCCACCCCAGTGTCAACCTGCTGGGCTTCAGTAACCCTTCCGCCTCAGCCTTCCAGGTAGCCAAAACTATAGGCGCACACTACCGCGTCCGGCTAATTTTTGATTTATTGTAGAGACAAGGTCTCGCCAAGTTGCCTAGGCTGGTCTGGAACCCACGAACTCAGGCAATCCACTTTCCTCAGCCTCCCAAAGTGCTGGGATTACAGACTGAGCCACCAAGCCTGGCCATTGGTATTTCTTTATAGAAGTAATATTGAATACTCTCTTCAAATAGCAGCTTTAGAAAAGGGACAAGTGTCCCTTTTGCCTGAGCAGGTTTTTGTATTGAAGTTTGTTAAGGCGCTGTTACTAAATTTGCATTTGTAAAGCGAGTTCTTTGGAGATCCCATCCATCTTTATCTGGTAGAATGTGAGTTTAAATAAAAATAAATATTGGTAGATTAATAGAATTATAGGCAAAAGTAATTTAAATGATACATTTTAACCCTATAGTCACTTAATCCATTTTTGTTCATATTTTTTGGTTGAAAGGCCAAAATGTTAATAACAAAGTAGGAAAAAAATTATTATTACTGAAATGAACAAGTATGAAATGAAACGAAGTCAAGAACCTTGAGTCTTTAATTCTTACTTTGTTACTAATTACCCTGTGGCCTGAGAAGTCGCCACACCTCTTTGAATCTTTCTCCATTATCAAAAGGATTTGAAATGCACTTCCTTTCTCTGCAGGTCTTTCATTTTATGATTGAATTTTTAAAATAGATAGTAGTGATATACAGCTTACAATTCAGTTTTTAAAATGCTCTTTAAATTTAAAAGGTCTTATAATCATACTGTACCCTATTTTGTGCCAGCATACATTTAACATACATTTTTCTCAAATGTCCTGGTTCAATTCTGAGTACGTATGCAGGGATATGTAGAAGTGGGAAGCACTGATACTTACGTGGTCTGTATGAGTGCTCATTGATGTTTATATCTCTTTTTAAGATGCCAGCTGGCCCTTAAAGGCATGTTGTTTACAAGGAGTTGCAATGAATGTATTTAGAATAACTCTGGAATAGATTTGCATGTTATATATCACCACTTAAGCACATTTGGTGTAGCACTTTCGGTGCTTCTGCCTACCTTCAGATGACAAATATGAATTTCTGAATTGTATTCATAGACCTATATCGCTGAGGCTTAAAAATTCTAACTAGGAAATTCTTGAATCATTAGTTAGAATTGTATCTTAATACTATTTCCTGAATGTGAAAAAAAAAATTCTACACAGCACTAGGTAAAGTGATCTAAGAAGTAATATTTATTCATGACTTACGTGACTAATGTTTTATATATCATAAAGGTAAATAAAATTAAACTAGTGTTTTCAGTTTATCTTATATATATATACACACACCAGTAGAATGCATCAATTCCTTTTATAAAAGTAATTCTGACCCCTGGCACGGTGGCTCAAGCCTGTAATCCCAGCACTTTGGGAGGCTGAGGTGAGAGGATTGCCTGAGCCCGCGGGTTCGAGACCAGCCTGGGCAACATGGTGAGACCTTGTCTCTGCAGTAAATCAAAAAATTAGCTAGGTGTGGTAGTGCACGCCTGTAGTTCCAGCTACTTGGAGGGCTGAGGCGGAAATATCGCCGGAGCCCAACAGTTTGACACTGGGGTGACCGTGAGCGTGCCGCTATGCTCCAACCTGGGCAATGGAGTGAGACTCCCAACTCAAAAAAAAAAAAAATGTGATTCTGGGTACACGTTCAGTTACTTTTTTTTTTTTTTTTTTGAATTGGAGTCTCAGTCTGCTCCCAGCCACTGCAGCCTCGACCTGCTGGGCTCCGGCGATCCTTCCATCAGATACTTTTTTGATTGTATAATATCGTTTGTATTTGAATTTCAGAAAACAATTATACACTTGCTTTTGAAATGGAAAAATTTTTCCGTTTTTCCTGAAGAAATATGGTGCCTTTTAAACCAACCAAATTATTTTCTGCTTTTCTGTGTTTACTTTTTTGAAAACCAGTTTTATTGATATTATGGTCCTGACTTAAAGTTACTGTTTTAATAAATTCCATCTAAAAACTAGGGTGTGACATATTTATCAAAACAGTCAAATGAGTTTAGAATTTTGATAAGAGCTTCAAATGTTAGGACTTAGTAACTGTATTAAAGATATGTTTAGAAATAGATAACAAATATATGGATGCTCTTCACATGTTAAAATATTTAGTGTAAAAGAATTTATTGAACCTGAGTTAAAGTAAAATACCGGAATCCAGGTGAAATTGATCACTTGGTGGGGAGAATGTAGTCCTTTTTATAATTCAAGTGGTCCAAATGAGTATTCTTAGTAAACACATATATAATAGAAGCTTCTTAAATCCTAATCACTTTATTAAAAGTGTTACAGAATTGAATTCATTTCTTATCTAGCTAACCTAGTGACCTGGTGAGTCATAAGTTCTTTCTGAAACAAGTCAGAGACATTAGTAAATAAGTGAATTTTCTATATTAATAAAGCATGACAGCTTCTAAACCTACTTTTGCTCTGTAGATTTTTAACATATATATCTACATGAAGTTTAAATTTACACAACTATTTTGTTCGAGAGTACGAAGACTTTGACTAATGCAATTTACCTCTTTTAATAGGTTCGTGTAAATTCATTAGTGTGCTTAGGAAAGATTTTGGAATACTTGGATAAGTGGTTTGTACTTGATGATATCCTGCCCTTCTTACAACAAATTCCATCCAAGGAACCCGCAGTCCTCATGGGAATTTTAGGTAGCTGAAAACTTAATGTCATTTGATGCTATTTTATTTATTGCTTTACAGTCATGCAAATAAATTATCCAGTCTATAAAGCCATTGTACTCTCCTCTCATTTATATAGCATTCAGTAATTGAAGAATGATGGGTTATAGGGTCAAAGCATAACTTTTCTCTTTGTGCTAATTTTAGCAAAAGCAGAATCTTCCTGTTTACAAGGAAGTCAGATATTTGGGAACCCTATCTTCACAAATATGACAGCATGTAGTTTTCTCCATACAATGGTACAAAATAAGAGAGACAAATGAAGCTACTTGAAATGCCAATACTAGTCTTAATAGTAATACCTGATGTTTATTTGGTACTCAACTTGAAAGAGACAAAGTATTTTCTGTGCATTAACTTATTTTGTCCTTCCCCAAATCCACTGAGATTGGTACTGTTGTTTCTGTTTTACAGCAGGGAAACTGAGGCTCAGAGAGGTGAAGTAAGTGATTCAAGATCATACAACTAACAAGTGGCAGAGCTGCGGTTTTTAAAAATATATTTTTATTTAAATCTTAACTAGTTTATTTCATGGCTAAGTGATGTGCTGATGAAGCATATTAGCTTTCTTGCACATCCTCTTCTATTAGCATAATTACAAATTACTGTCAAGAAACTGGAATTGTTTGTGTACAGTTAAAGCTGTGAAAGTTCAATCTGGAAATGCCAGGGGTCTGCTGTAATAACAGAGACAAGCATAACTGTAGATGCACAAAAATATGAACTGTTCAAGTTCATTTTTTACTGAATTTGAGGTTCTTTGTTAGTTTTTAAGAAAACCTATATTACTCATGTGTGTCTTCTTAAACCCTGTTACAGGGCCAGGCCTCTAAAGAAAGCTCTCAATAATCATTGGTAGGAATGGTTAGCAAGTGTTTGTTGTGGATCTCTGTAGACATAGAACTCTTGGGATGTGGTATGAATCTTGTGTGCTCTGAGAAGTTTGTCTTCTTGAGCAGGAGTTGGTGTAATAGAAGGAACCCTGACTCGGTTCCTAGGGTGACTTTGAAAAGTTTATTTATTCATCAAATGAGAAAAATCAGGTCAGTATAAGATTCTTAGGAGAATTCAGCAAAATAAATAAAAGGAAAGTAATGAGTATAGTAGTACCTAGCAAATAGACATTTAGTAGGTACTCAATAAAGTTATTCTTCGGTATGTAAGTCATGTAAGTATGTGAATAGAGTAATGGAAGATAATATGCTCTAACACTTTGCACTATGTACAAAACACTTAGAACACAAAAGTATTCAGAGAATGAGGAAGAAATGTGCTCAGTTTACTAAATGAAGACTTTGTGAAATACGTGTAACAAGTTGGGTAGTGAAGGTAGAAAAAACAGGTGAGACAATAGGGAAGGATTGTCTGGAATCGAATTAAATCATTACATTTCAAACATGTTGAGTTTGATCTGCTGAAGAAGCAAATAAAGGTGTAGGACCTATACTTTGTGCCTACACTTAGACACTTTGAAATAGGAGCCTTACGTTTAAAGGTGATTTCTGAAGTAAAGATTTAGGTGTTTTCAGGATAGAAGGGCATTCTGCAACCTTACTGCTGCGCTGTAAGATGTGAACCTGGTTCTGATAAGCTTTTAATATTTTGCTGTCATTAAATGTGCTTTTAAAAAGAACACAGTCTAAATATGTCATGGTATTTAAATCTGGACTGATTACAAAGGCTGAAATCAATTGCAAGAGCAGCCTCATGCTGAGCACTGATTGGGAGAAATTTGTGCTACAGTGATTATCAAGAGATTTCATGTAGATATACTGTTTGCATGATTTATATTTATGGTGGTAACTTATAAAATTTGTCACTTTCTTTTCTATTAGGTATTTACAAATGTACTTTTACTCATAAGAAATTGGGAATCACCAAAGAACAGCTGGCTGGAAAAGTCTTGCCTCATCTGATTCCCCTGAGTATTGAAAACAATCTTAATCTTAATCAGGTGAGAGTATTTTGGGGCTTTCCTCAACTTATTCAGCTTACTGTTTTCTTGGCATTCAGTCTATAAATATATTACATATAAAGATCTGTGAAGCAGGGAAAAACATGCCACAGAGTTAAATGAAGAATGTTTGTGGGGTAGAAGGATGGATTATTGAAGACTCAGTTGGGAGATGGTGAAAGAGCCGGACATTGAAAAGTAGGGAGTGTTTGGGACACTTTAAATTTGGGCTGAGAAATTGATGTGAATGAAGAACAAAGTCAGGAAATATGTTTGGGGAGTGTATCTGTTACTTATTGCAACATAACACATTACCACAAATTTAGTGGTGTAAAGCAACACACACTTAACCACCTCACAGTTTCTGTGGATCAGCCAAACCAGGACATGACATAGTTGGATTCTCTGCACAGGGTTTCTCACCGAGCTGAAGTCAAGGACTTGGTGGCTCATCCAAAGGCCCACCTGGGGAGTGATTTGCTTCTAAGCTAGTATACATGGTTGGTGGCAAGAATCATTTCCTTTTGGGCTGTTGGACTCAGAGCTCCTTTCCTAGCTGTCTGTTGGCTGGATGTCACATGGGCCTTTCAACATGGCCCTTGTTTCATCAAAGCCTACAAGAGTGCATTTGCTAGCAAGGTGAAGTTACAGTCTTTTGTTTTTAATCAAGGAAGTTATATTGGATCACTTTTGAGGCATTCTGTTGCTTAGAGCCAAGTCACAGATTCTGAAGATGGGAGATTACACAAGGGTGAGCAGAGCAAGAAGAGATCATTGGGCCCATTTTAAGAGTCGGTCTGCCATTGGGAAGGAATAATTCAATTGTACTGGTACATAATCATAATACAGTAAAAAATTAATGGGAGAAAGATAAATTGAGACTAGGATTGGTAGACTCTAAATGCCTGTGTGGTTTAGGTGTTTGAGCTTTTGAGTTGTGGTAAATGTTTGAGCAAAAGGGTAATGTGTTCAATGATTATTATAGAATTATCTCTCTGCAGAACTCTGTCGCTGTAGTTATCACAGTTGTGTACTTATGTGATTGACTCTTCTTAAAGATCATAAATTCTTTTATTATAGCTTATTCTTTGTCAGACCCCCAGCACTTTGTTTTCCTTGTCTAAGTAACTGATAAAGCTGCAACTCTTAATGCAGTGCCAGCAGTAAAAATATTTATTGAATTGAGCCAGAACTTGAGGTATAGAGTAATGACAAGCCATTTTTGTTCACAATAGAATTGATGTTTGAAGATGTAATAGAAAAGGCTAAGAAGGGTGATTGTTTAACTGAAAGGGTGGAGATGGATAGGCTGGGAAGATTTAGAGTTGAGGACTGCGGGTGAGTTACAGTAATGAAGATAGCAGAAGGTGGAGGTTGCTCGAGAGTTTTTGGCATTAGGGAGACTGCTGAGTAAGCAGAGTTTTGGAAGTAGAGGAATTTGTAAAGTTAATCATCTCAAGCTTTTCGTTTGAAGTAGTGAGGTAAGCTCTGAAAGTTTGTCCCCAGATTTCAGTTTTTGGCTTGATAGTTTCCTCAGACTTGGGATGGCAGAGTTGGGAGTAGGGTCGGCCAAAAGGGAGGTGGTGAATATTGGGAGGAGTAAGATAATGTGCCTAAAAATGGCCTTGTTGTCATTTCTTTTCTTAGTTCTCATATTTCTGATTTAGGCTGTTTTAACATATTCCCAAATGCTTGTTTTAAGGTATGTAATTGTTTGGAATGTTGTGTCAGTTTACTTCAACTTTGAGATTTTTTTTTTTTGCGGGGAGACCTATTTTCTTTTATTATTTTAAAGATAAGGGGTACGATTCAGGATTAGGTATACAAGTGGTCATCATACAGGTAAAGTTTGGCTTCCCTTTGGCCCCCACTTCGCCTGGTTTGAGATCAGGTGCCCTTACTGATGTTGTGTTGCTCCCCACCCCTCTCCCCAGTATCTCGCTACTGCCCATCCCTTTCTTATAGTATTATGATAATTGTTCAGGGTCCACTTTTGGATGAGAACATGTGGTACTCTGTTCTTTGTTTCTGTGATAGTTCACTGAGTATGATGGATTCTAAATCCACCCAAGTTGCTGTGAAGTTTTTTAGGGCCTATTTTCTTTTTTCTTTTTTTTTCTTTATTTTTTTGAGTTGGAGTCTCACTCAGTTGCCCAGACTGGAGTGCAGTGGCTGCTCCCGGCCACCGCAGCCTCCAGCGATCCTTCCGCCTCAGCCTTCCGAGTAACTGGAACTACAGGTGCGTGCTACCACGCCCGACTAAATTTTGATTTATTGTAGAGATGAGGTCTTGCCAAGTTGCCCAGGCAGGTCTTGAACTCGCAGGCTCAGGCAATCCACTCACCTTGGCCTCCCAAAGCGCAGGATTACAGGCTGAGCCACCGAGCCTGGCTAGGGTCTATTTTCATAAAAAAATGTTTTGATTTCTATCTTCTAATATTTTACAGTAGCTTAACATGAATGTGATCTGCCTTCCTGTTTATCTCATGGTCAGGGTTTCTAATTCAAGACTACTGTCAGTTCTGATTTAAGATAGTTTAATTATATTATACCTTAAGTGAAAGAGATAACATAGGAAAATACATTTTCAGCATTTGATTCAAAAACAGCAGATATACCGCAGCTATCCACTGAATAATCTATATTTGTGTTTGAGGGGGTCCTAAAACCACACCATGGGAGACTCACAGGACTGAACGTGTAGTTGTGCTAAGGTTGCGTGTTATTATGGTGAAAGGTTGCCAAGCAAAGTCAGTAAGGGTACAGGGTTCACAGGGCAAAGTCTGGGGCAGACCAGTTGTGAACTTCCAAAGTCCTCTCCCCATGAGATCTCACAGGATACGCTTAATTCCCCAGTAATGGGTTGTGACAGTACATGTGAAATGTTGCCAGCTTGGGAAGCTCACTGGAGATACTGCGCCGGAGGTCCTCTTGAGGGCTGATGAGGCAGTACCCTCGGTTTGGCTTGTATCAGGTTTCAGACACCCAGAGGAAAGCAGGTGCTGAGCATGGGACATGTTCTTTGTGCAGTTTAGGCCCAGTGAGCCCCTGTGTGGGAACCTTCCTGACATCTGAGTTCCCGGACACCAGCCAGAGGCCAACCTTAAAAGCAGTCTTTCCATGGATGGTAGTTCAGGCCTACTTTGTTAAGTCTCTTCTGCTCAAATTGCATGTAACAACATGGCTGAACAAGCAAATGAAGCCAGACGTAAAAGAGGAGCTATGAATGATCCATTTATGTAAGAACAGTCTGAATGCCGCTGTTGGAAGTTACAGTGGTGTTAACCCATAGGGCAAGGGGTGGGGAATGGCTGGAAGGAGGCCCGAGGATGCTGCTGGAGTATTGGCAGTGTTGTTTCTTCATCTGGCTACGAGCCACATTGGGCTGTTTCGTTTGCGAATTGGGAATTTTTTCACTTGCATGTGTACTTTTTTGTTAGGATTTTATACTTCAGTATAAGATTTTAAGATGCAGAAAGTCAGGCATGGTAAACTGCTGTGGACATCTGCCCTTGTCATTCTCATGATAAGACCCAGAGGAAGCTGCTGATAGACATGGCAGGAGGCAGTGTAAGAAGGCAGAAAACAGCACGAGCCTGGAGATGGGCTCTGTGCATCCTCGCTCTGCTGTGTCAGCTGTCTCATGTCTTTTGTGTTTCTTTATCTCACTTGCCCAAGTTTCCTTGTTTGTAAGTTAGAAATATTAAGAAGCCTACTTTGAAGAGTTATGAGGATTAATACAATAGTGTATGTGTAAGCACCCAGCACAAAGATGGAGCGGTAAGATTTGGGGAGGAGAGGAAAGCAGTTTCTAGATTCTTCCTGTAAATATGTGGTGTTTTTCAAATACATTGTTTTTGAGGATCCAGACGTAACCATAAGAATTATCAGCAGTTAACCAGTGTTTAACCAAAGCTTAAGCTATGCTAAGACATAATGTTAGGTATGCTTTATGAACTTTAATTATTTCAAAATTGGATTATGAATATCTAATATTTCTACTGACTTTTCAGAAAACAAAGTTTATTTTAGTCAAACGTCACTGCAATTTGAACAAACTGGAGTTTTCTATGTATTATTAAATGGATTGTTTCTAGGTAGACACACATTCAGATGGTCAATTTTGTGTGATCCTAGGAAAGTCAATATATAACTGCTGGGGTGAACTTATGTAAGATCCTGTTTAATAGCTGTTAGCTCAGGATAGAAAACTCATCGAGACATGTTTCCTGGAACTTAAAGTGTCATCAACTCTTATCGTACAAAGATATTATAAAAGCTTGCTATAATATGATGAGTTTAAATACGTTGTTCTTGTTACATAAGGTGCTATGAGTGGATCCTATTTTACTGGTAAAAATGGAGATTATGATTAACTTGTTGAATTATCTTAAATAATTATGTCTGCTTGAAACATTATAACCATATCAATTTCTTATTATACCAGTTCAGTTCCTTCATTTCCGTCATAAAAGAGATGCTTAGTAGATTGGAGTCTGAGCATAAGACTAAATTGGAACAGCTTCATATAATGCAAGAGCAGCAGAAGTAAGTAGGTTGCAAATGACTTGCACGTTGTCCAGGAGTGAGATTAAAGTTATCTCACGATCGGTTTTCTGGAATATGGCATAGAAAAGTTGCTGGATTTTAATTTGACCATATGTAAAACATTAAAAAATTTTCAACATATTGATACGTTGAATGAGTTAAAATATAATGTAGTTGGAACTCTAATGTGACTTCTGAGTATAAGAGTGCAATATTCTATCATTTTGGCTTTTCTTTACACAAAGAAAATGTGGTTTCTCAGAAAACCCTTGTCAGCAGTAGCCACTGGCATTATAAACTTAGGTTGCTGAACACCAAGAGCTCCTCTTCCACAGCATTTTCTGGTTTATGGACCCATGGTGTTTTGAGTTGTTCCATTCTCTTTTCTCTAGCCCCACGAACATTAGAGCATTCATTTCATAGGCAGCACCACAACATGTACCTCTTAATTTTTAGGGGGATTTTCTACATTACTTGCAAAGCACTAGTAGTCAAAGGAACAAGGCATAGTTGGAAATTGTTCCACGGCGAATGCCAGTTTATTAAAATCAAAACTCCCCTATAGTCTTTGCTCCAGACCAAAACACATGAATTTAGGATACCCATAGAAGGCAGAATTCTGAACTAGAAGATACTTGAAAATCAGTAAAATTGGTATCGGTCATGAGCAGGGTCCCCAAAAAGAGCTTCTTTAACGTCTGCCCCAATGTAAGATAAAGACTTGGAGAAGTAAATATACACGGTGTTGAAATAGGTGAAGTAGCCTTTTCTGCCCTAAATATTCTGTGGCATGTACGTATGTGATATCGAATGAATTGACTGTGCCAGCATAGGAACCCTGAGACATAATTTGTAAAATGTATTACAGGTAGAAGCAACTTCTTAATGTCTGTTATTTCTACTTAAGCTGGGAAATGAACCTAACCCTTTTCTTCTTCCTGTCTGAATCCCACCTCTTTTCTCAAGATGTAAAACTGGCCTGCATCACAGTGATTATAGCAGTTATTATTCGTATCACAGATTCAAAACTGAATCATATTAAGTTCCCCATATCATATCTTGCCTCTCAGTGGAATGTTACGCTCCTTAGCAGTAAGAGTCATGCTTGCCTGATTTTATAACACCTCAAGTGAATTCTCCAGTAAATCTCAAATGTTGACTTTTGAAAAAGGACTTATATACCAATGTTATTTTTTGAACAAGCAGATATTAATAATAGAGAATAATGGAAAAGATTATGATGCCTTAAATGTGAAGTCACAGTTTATCTGGGTTCTAATATATTTCATGTGGGTAAATAACTTTTAGTATGAGTATTTAAAAATATGCTTTTTTTTGGGTCATAATTCAACTCTCCTGAAGATCTTTGGACATAGGAAATCAAATGAATACTTCTGAGGAGACAAAAGTTACAAATGTTGGAAATCAGGTAAGAAGATAATTTTTGTAGAAAGCACTTGACAATATGCTGCTTTTGGGGTGCATTTAATCTCTAAGCAGTAAAATCACAATTTTATTGAAATCTGGTTCAGTGATTGTTTTTATTTCAGCAAATCGACAAGGTTTTTAACAGCATTGGAGCAGACCTTCTGACTGGTGGTGAATCAGAAAATAAAGAAGATGGGTTACAGAATAAACATAAAAGAGTGAGTTTCTTTCCTGTTCCTTTAGTACTCTTATTTATACAGTAGGGCTTCCTGTAAACCACACATTTTTCTTGGGAAATACTGCTTAGCATCTTAACAAGAAACATTTTATAATTATCTTTACGAAATACCTTTTATCAGTGGAACACGATCTAACCCATGTTGAAAAGAAACGTGCTTAGGACTTCATTAGTACTCAGCCAGAGAAGATAAAATGCACTCAGATTTTCTTTTTTAATCTACGTGCGAGATGGAATCAAATCTATTTTGAAAATCCTCTGAGATATTGGTGGTCCATCGTTAGTGAGTCATACAGACATCAGGTTCCCCTGATAAGATAAACCAAGAAGAGTATACTACATCACTTCTGTGTATTCTTCCCAAAAATGTATAGCTTTAATCTAAACATTAGACAAATCCAAATTGAGGGCCATGCTACCAAACAACTGATCAATATTCTTTGAAAATGTCAAGGTGAAAATCTGATGAACCACAGTTAAAGTTGTCACCACGCAGTGAAAGGAAAGAAGAGAGGTGAGGTTACCTCCCACAGGTAATATTTCTAGACTGCCGGACTCCTTGGTCCTTACTCTTCTCCCTTGCCAGTCACACCCCATGCTCAATCCCAAGGTGTCTCTTTGTTCCTGTGCTGCTGGCTTCCGTTGCAGATTTGTGTTGTCCGTCTGCCTTGAGCTCTCCCTGATTATTCTCTTCAGTATTTTAATTTCTCTCCCACTCACTACATCCCCAACTGTTGAAGTTCCAGACTTTTTCCATTCTTTTTGAGCCTAGTAACCTCACTTCTCTTCTTTCACGGCTCACCGTAGTCTTGACCTCCTGGGCTCAGATGATCTTTCTACCTCAGCCTTCGAATAGCTGAGACTACAGGTACATGTCACCACACCTGGCTAGTTTTTTTATTTTTTTGTAGAGATGAAGTCTCACTATGTTGTCTAGGCTGATCTTGAACTCTTAGGCTCAAGTAATCTTCACTCTTCAGCCTCCCAAAGTGCTGGGATTATAGCTGTGAGCCACTACACCTGGCCATATCTCTTCAAAAAAAATTTTAAGTCAATTTTTGACTTCTGCTGAGGGCAGTCTTCTATTTCATATTTCATTCACCAAATATGAATACCTGTATATGTAAAGCCAAGGGACTATTAGGCGTAGTAGTTTATAAAATTGTAAGAGAACATATTGTAAGCTTATAGTTTATCTAGGTTGTTTTAAAAAAGAAAGGCACAGCTATTTGGAAGACTGAGATGGAAGGATCACCTAAGCCCAGCAGGTCAAGGCTGTGGTGGCTATGAGTGTGCCACTGCACTCCAGCCTGGGTCACAAGAGTGAGCCTCTAACTCAAAAAAAAAAAAAGACAAACTTTGAATTTTCTGTAAACATTAACAGTGAAAGAATGTATGTTAAGTTCTTCCTTAGCTTTTTGGCGAGCTCCTAAAATATTACTGGAGTGATATAGATTAGAGTTGAAGAAGATATTCCAATTTTAGATAATGAAATCACTTAATCATATTCTCATTGTCTGGAAAAAGATGATTCTAATGAATAATTTTAAAATAATAATTGTTTTTATACTGGAAATATTTTTGTACAGATTCTGTAAGCTGTTATCTAAAGTTGAATCTTGTAGTAATTTGAAGTACAACTTGCCTGTGGCAATCACCAACACAGTAATAGTTTACTTTTCAGTGATATACTAAGTATTGCTAAATATACTTAATATATTAAATATACTTGAGTATATAAAGATATACTTGGCCAGGCTCGGTGGTCAAGCCTGTAATCCCAGCACTTTGGGAGACTGAGGCTAGTGGATTGTCTGAGCCTGCAGGTTCGAGACGCGCACGGGCAACTTGGCAAGACCTCATCTCTACCACAAATCAAAAACTAGCCAGGTGTGGTAGTGCGCGCATGTATTTCCGGCTACTTGGAAGGCTGAGGCGGAAGGATCGACGGAGCCCAGCAGGGTGAGGCTGCGGTGGCCAGGAGCAGCCATTGCACTCCAGTCCGGGCAATAGAGTGAGACTCCAACTCAAAACAATAAAAAAATAAAGATATACTTAATTAAAAAATAAATCTTTTGTTTGACAAATGTATCTATGAAGTTGCCAGTTAATTTTTTGCTTCATTTTGTTTTTAAGACATCACTTACACTTGAAGAAAAACAAAAATTAGCAAAGGAACAAGAGCAGGCACAGAAATTGAAAAGCCAGCAGCCTCTTAAGCCCCAAGTGCATACACCTGTTGCTCCTGTCAAGCAGGTGAGAGTTCCCTTCTTTTGCATGAATTCAGGAATACTATAGTAAGGAATAAGGTCGTGTAGAACTTAGTCTACTAGTGTTTGTATAAAAATGTGTTTCACAGAATGCTTAATACGTAGTTTCTAAAAAGCGTGGGCATAAAGGATTCTTCAGCAACTCCATAACCTGCCTGATGTAGCATGTCTCTTGACAATATTTGTCACCATTCAAAAGGTAGCTGGATGAGCAGGTGATTCTTAGAGTCATTAGGTTCCCTAGCACTCATTGAACTCTGTTTGCTGCGATGTGATCAGAAATACTATATGCTCTAACGTAGTTTTGAGCTGAAGTTGTTTTCTGTTTTTGACTTCTCAATCGTAGTTAGGTTTGTAACTTGATTTGGGAAGATGCCCCCACATGACCCAGTCAGTGCTCATGTCCTGCTGTTTTCCAAGTACTGTTCTTGCTCTGGTGCTGTGGCAGTGAATACAGGTCCCTGCAGAGAGTTATAGAAGTAGCTTTACCGTAGAAGCATTCTTTGTTTTTTGCTGCCTCTTATTCACTAACATTCTTTCTGTGAGAAAAGCATCTTTACAGGCTAAGAGGCAAGATTGAGAATACGAGGAGAGGACCTAAAAAACTGGAATGAGCTTCGAGGGGGGGGCCCCTTGTAGTACCCTTGAAGTTTGTTCCTCTGGATCAAACCGTAAACTAAAGGTTTTACCTGAAGTTTTAAGAAAGTCACTGCACTCCCGTCTGGCGACAGAGTGAGACTCCAACTCAAAAAAAAAAAAAGAAAGTCACATCACGAATTGTGGAAGAAACGGCCCGATTTGTGGCAAACAGGTGACTGGTTCATCCACCATGACAGCACACCTGCCTGAGTGTTCAGCCATTTTTGACCAAAACAGCGTGCTCTCCATGCCCCACCCTCCCTATTCACTTGATCTCTCCCCAAGCGATTTTTTTTTTGTTTTCCTGGATGTAAAAAGCCCTTAAAGGGAAATGTTTTGCCGATGTGGAAGAGGTGAAACAAAAAAAAGACATCAAAATTGACGGTTCAAAACTGTTTAAAGCAGTGGAAAAAGCATCTCAATAGTTGTATTGCATCAAACGGAGAGTACTTTGAAGGTGACTGATGTTTAAACATGTTGCCGGGCTTGGTGGCTCAGCCTGTAATCCCGCGCCTTTGGGAGGCTGAGGTGAGTGAATTGCCTGAGCCCGCGGGTTCGAGACCCGCCTGGGCAGCGAGACCTCATCTCTACAATAAATAAAAAATCAGCCGAGCGTGGTAGCGCATGCCTGTAGTTCCAGCTACTTGGAAGGCTGAGGCGGAAGGATCGCCGGAGCCCAGCAGGTCGTGGCTGCGGTGGCAGGGAGCGGCCACTGCACTCCAGTCTGGGCGACAGAGTGAGACTCCAACTCAAAAAAACAAAACAAAAAAACAAAACAAAACAAAAAAACATGTAAGAATAGATATGCAATTTTTATAAATAAATTCTGGGTTTTTTGGGTCCCCCTCATGTTTTGTAGGTACTTATGTGAGAATTTATATTTGGTGAAATTCAAAATATAAAAATGAGTCCTTTTTTGTAATATCGAATACTTGATAAAATTCAAAATATAAAAATAATAGAGTATCCCTTTTTATACTATAGGATAAGACAAATGCAACTCCATTTTTGGGGGAGATAACATTTGGTTTAATGTAGTTTAAAGTTAGTGTTCCCTATCATCAAATGGATTGAAAATTTTTATCTGTAAAAACTATACATTGGCAGTAGCAGAACACTAGCGGCGGGTGGGAGGGGAGACACATAACATCAATCAGGGTACCTGATCGCAAACCAGACAAAGTGAGGACCGAAAGGAGGTCCAAACTTCACCTGTACGATGATCACCTGAATACCTAATCCTGAATTGTACCCCACATCTTTAAAATTAAAAAAAAAAACTATACAAAAATAGAAGGTAGGATATATTTGGCTTGCAGCCTATAGTTTGCTGATTTGGTGTAGACTGTTGAGCTTAATTTTAACTTGTCCTTTATAATTTAATCTGTCAAATATTTACTCATTAAAAAGTAATTTGGATTTCTCAGAGATAAAAGCAATTCTCTCATGTTTTTCAGACAAAGGACTTGACAGACACACTGATGGATAATATGTCATCTTTGACCAACCTTTCTGTTAGTACCCCTAAACTTTCTGCTTCAAGTACTTTCACTTCGGTTCCTTCCATGGGTGTTGGCATGATGTTTTCTACACCAATTGATAATACGAAGAGAAATTTGACAAACGGCCTAAATGCCAACATGGGCTTTCAGACTTCAGGATTCAACATGCCGGTGAACACAAACCAGAATTTCTTCAGTAGTCCCAGCACACCTGGAGTGAACAAGATGGCTCTGGGGGCACCGCCTACGTTGCCAAACTTCAATGCTTTGAGTGTCCCTCCTGTGGGGGCGAAGCAGACCCAACACAGACCCACTGATATGTCTGCCCTTAATAATCTCTTTGGCCCTCAGAAGCCCAAAGTTAGCATGAACCAGTTGTCGCAACAGAAACCAAATCAGTGGCTTAATCAGTTTGCACCGCCTCAAGGCTCTCCAGGTGTGGGCAGTTCAGTAATGGGAACTCAGATGAACATGATAGGACAATCCACCTTTGGCATGCAGGGTAATCCTTTCTTTAACCCACAGAACTTTGCACAGCCACCAACTACTATGACCAGTAGCAGTTCAGCTAGCAATGATTTAAAAGATCTTTTTGGGTGAGGAGTCTTGCTTCTGTTTTGAAGGATTACTTCAGTTTTAATCATGGGTAAGCTGAACTACATCTTTATATAGTTGGCTTGGGGGAACTACTTCTGTGGGAAAGTGAATGGTTTTGTGACAGAAAACATCTGTTTCTGTGCCGGCATAGTAGTTGTATGGACTTCCAACCAGTTGAGTTTTTTAAAGCATTGAGGATTTTCTTCCTCTTTTCACCTCCTCTTCAGGTTTTTAACGACCCAGACCTTACAAATCTCAAAGAGAAAAAGGACAACTGAGTTATCTTAAATAGCAGGATTTTTAAATCAAATATTTATTTTGGCTCATGAATCTTATTAAAAAAATTGAGTTGCTGGTCATGCAAGCTCATCAGTTAAGTACTACATGATACATAGTCTACCTTCACAAGTCACTAGTCTTCATTTTAATATTTGAAAAATCTTGATGCTGTTTTTATTTGTTTGCATCTAGTATGACCGGGTAAGGAAATGATAAACATAAAGAGAAGGATCAGGTTATTGACTTTTTCCAAATTTATTTACTTTTCGATGAACTAGAAAAGACTGAGCAAATCCTACAAAATTTAATTTACCTTGATTTCATTGGTTTAGACATATTATTAACCGTCTTAAATGCAAACTAATCATTGTAAATTATATTTTAGCATGGTCTGCCTCAAATAGTAATGTATTTTTCTGCATTCACTTGGACATATTTAGAATCACTTTTTTCTTACTGTATCACAGAAGAGGTATGTACTGATTTGTACAGATATCTGACAAAGCACTCTGATGTGATTTTCCTGACTACTACTGCCTTCATATTTCATTTTAAATTCAAATTTCTGAGGTTGCACCATATATGAATTGCATTTTCAAAAAGAGATTTGTAAGAATTAAACTATATTTAATGAGTAAACTTTTGAGATTTCTGCTGTATTATTTCAAATGCAATAAACTTTACTTCTCTAAAAATGAGCAGTTGTATCTTCTGGCTGCCAACAGATTAATTTTCAGCTTGTCATGATAGTCTGAACCTCTTTTCTAGGAATTTCGGGAACCTTTTGTTTGAACATTTTAATGCCCATAATTAGCCATTTTTAGGGAGGAAAGAATAAATTATCCTAACAAGAATCATGCATTATTTTTCAAAATCTGTCTCTGATAGTTTTCTTTAATTTGCTGATTATTCAACCACATGGCCTTATACTGTGAACGTTGTTTGTATTTTTTAAAATTATATTCCACTGTCAGGTGATAACTTTAAACCTATCTTTTAAAGAACTATATGTGTATTATAGTTGCTGCCATAGAATTTGTGGATTTTAGTGATCTGGAACCAGCAATCATTTAAAATAAATTGTATGAAGTTTAGTGTACTCATTGACTATGAATATTCCCTGAAAATATATACACATACGTACACAATATATGTATATTTATATACAGGACTTGATTACAGAATATTATTTGATGACATAACTGGCAGCATTCAGTTAAGAGGATACTTTTTAAAAACTCACTTTCACATCTAGTTTCTGTGTGAGCTGCACTTGCTTACATGGTTTTAGAAAAATAACTGATAGAAATGCTAAAAACTCATCCAGGAAATGAAAAACGCTAGGAGGATCAAAATGTTTTTGTCAAATACATTCACAACTTGAACAGATTAGCTGTCTTGTTTATAACAATATTAATATATCTTTTGGGGGAAAAGCTTACATACGGGATAAAATTGCTTAATGTTGAATTCTTCATTGTTAACAATTCCGTAGTCACTGTTTATTGAGAAATTGTTTTTTATTTTGTAAAATCACGTGACGTCAATGTTGAGCTCCTAATTAGAAAGAAAACAGTACAACAGCTTATATAACTTGAACTTCTAAATATGAAAGTAATTATTTGAAAAAATAGAATTATGTAAAATTTGCTCATTGGTTGAGGTAACGGTGCTACATTTTTACGAAATTGTTCCTACCCTTTTATTCTACTTTCTCAAAGGTATTTTATTTAAATCATTTTCGTCAATTGAGCTGTTACCATTGCCTTTTTCTGTTGAGAAATTGCCTCTGAAAATAGTGCTATTTTTAGACTTCAGCGTTCCTGTGTGAATGAAACTTTCAAGTACTAGCTCACCTTAAATTATTTCAGGAAATGAAGCCAGTTTGAAGTCCATTATGCTTAGAGTAGAAAACTGGTAAGTTAAAGACCATCTGCTGACAAAAGTGACAACGAATTTCCCTTTCATTTGAATTGGTTTTTTGTTCTCCTAATGCTAAAATGTGTGATAACATGTAGAAGATGTGTAAAAGAAAATGGAAACAGACTATGTACTTGTCTGGTTTTTGTTGGTTTTGTTTTAGAATGCTTATCACCCTCCTTTTTCACTGGTTAAGGAAGTAGTTTTTTTTAACCTGTGCAATACCTCACATGGTTGTTTTTACATGTGAAAGGAAAAGGCATATGTGAAAATACCTGATATCAAGCGAAAGATGCACCAAATAAATTTTAGCTTTGATAAACTTTCCCTATTAAGTTTGATTTCGTACTTTGTGATTTATTGGTCTTGAAATAATTTTAGAACAAATGAATCTGTAAGAATCAAACTGTCTAGGAGTTAAGGGATTCTCTACATCAGTCTTTCACACTGTAACTGACTACTCAGCCAGAAACACACAATCTGCAGCCACTCTAGAGAACACATACCTGGAACACAGGTGTCAGCAAACGTCTTTAATAAGTGGGGTGTATGTTGTCCTTTATTCTATCTCAAAGATGTTGATTACAGTCCCTAAAAGGGTTTCAGACTTCGTTTGAGTAAAACAAAGCTCAGTTCTCTCACCCCGAGAGAAGCAGAGGCGGAAGCAGAGGGCCTGGGGCTTGCGAGGCTCAACCCAAGGAAACTCGAGTCGGGGACTTGCGAGGCTCGACCCAAGGAGGCCCAAGAGGCCCCGGGCCAGGAGCGGACGCTGGTTTCTTTTCCGGTCGCAGGCTAGTCCCCGCCCCCACAGTGCATCCCGTTTTGTGTGAATTCTCCTAGAGCTGCCTTTGTGGAGAGCGATGTATGTAGCAAGTATGTGTTCAGTACATCTGTAGTGAAAAAAGGAGGCGATGACAAAGGAGATGACAGAAAAGTGAGCCCGCAGGTTTGAGACCCGCCTGGGCAGCCAGACCTCATCTCCACAATAAATCAAAAAATTAACCGGGCGTGGTAGCACATGCCTGTAATTCCGGCTCCTCGGAAGGCTGAGGCGGAAGGATCGCCAGAGCCCAGCAGGTCGAGGCTGTGGTGACCGGGAGCGGCCACTGCACTCCAGTCTGGGTGACAGAGTGAGACTCCAAATAAAAAAAAAAAAAAGAATCAAGCATAGTCAAGCTGCTGTTGTGGGTGCAGGGGGCTGGGGATGCTCACCTGGCAGTGCTGGCAGGACCCAGGTATAAGGTATACAGCAGAATTAAAGTTTATAAACCTGGGGAGAAGGGAGTGCAGTGGGAAAAGCCGTTTCACCAAAGTGAAACATGCTGGGTTTTAGCGACTTTTCTATCCAAAGCAGCCAAGTTGCTCCTGCCACTCAGGGAGGACTTAATTACCTGGGGTACAGACCATATATGTAATTTAAAATGTTTAGTCATCTCGTTAAAAATAGGTGAAGTTTATTTTAACATATTTTAAAGTATCCTTTCTCTGTGGAATTGAACAACTTATGAGAGCTTTCACGTTATTTTTTGGCATTTGGTCTTTGAGCTTCAGTGTGTATTTTACACTTGGCGCATTTCGCTTCAGACTAGTTGTATTTCAAGTACTCAGTGCCACGTGCGAGTGGCTGCCATGTCAGTGTGCGGTGCGTGGAAGTGAGCTGCGGCGTGAGCAGCCACAGTCTCCCTCCCTAGCCCAGCCTCTGCCCTGCTCTGTGCTTTCCTTGCCAGCGGGCAGCCTGGTGGGCTCCATCAGCGCAGGCTCCGAGTGACCCTGCAAGCCACAGCAGCAAGAAGGTGCTTCACTTCTGGGTTCTGGTTCTCCATGTCTGTCCCCCGCAGGCTCAGGCTGCCTTCTCCCGACCTGAATGGGGTGGCCAGCTTTGGGGGGCTGCTTCCGGGTGATGCTGTCTCCACCCTGGCCCACGGAGGATGTCCTTGCCTCTTGACAACTTCCTTCTTCACCGGCAGGCCAGTGTTCCTATGGAAAGTGCACCCTTTCCGAGCAGTCTGACTCAACTTGGGAGGGGTGAGAAGAGCCTCTCAGCCTTCATTGGCTTATTTTTTCCTGCCACCCTCAGCCTGGAGGTAATCATGGCTTTGCACCTGCTGCTTCTGTCACTAGTTAACCAACTTCTACTAGTTGTGACAATTGTTATATTAAAACTTCTCTGTCCAGACATCTGGTCTTGCTTTGTCTCCTGGCTGTCACCGATAAAGCTTGACTCTAACACCAAGGCATTTTAAATGGGGCCATGTATAGTATATGCTACTAGCTGAAGCCATACGGAGTTGGCTTTCTGAACATTCTTTTGGAACTTGCCTGTAGTGAAAACGGGGTTTGTCTCTTTGTGTCTATCTGATGCAGTTCCAATTTTGTCTTCTTTTCCCCTGCTTTGTGGATGTGTTCCTGTGTGGTGGCCTCGGTTGCAAGTAAAGCCTGTGTTTGATGTTTATGTAAACGTAAATGAGATAGAGACTTTAGTGTGTGAAGTCTGAAAGCAGGAATCAGAATTCACTTAGGTTCACTGGAACCCTGAGCCTGCCCATCTTTCTAAAGGCTATCACACACAAATCAAATACGAGACATTTTCATGAGCATGTTAGAAGCATACAGTGCACGGACTTTGGAGCCTGATAAAGTGGCTTAGGGACTTTTAAAAAGTTCTAGGCTGAAATTATAACATTCATGCTCTCTATGGACGTGGGGCAGGGTATTTTACACATTTGCTCATGTGTTGCAGCAGATCCAAAATTATTTTAGAGAAAATCTTGTCTCTAGCATTGGGCACTCTTATGATCACTTTGTAAAGAGGGAGTGGGCTCTGCTGAGGCAGTGTCCTCACTAGAGGGCTCAGATTCCCCCTCCAGCTTCCAGGGTGATGGGCATCAGCCCTAGCCCACGAGTCCGCGTGCTCCAGCTCTTGTTTGCAGCTAATTGCTTGTTGCCCGACAGTCAACATCTCATTTTTGAGAAATGTTTATTTGGGAGGCCAAAAATTGAGCAATCCATCCATTTCTGTAGGAATTCAGAATTAAGCCTGGGCTGCCACCCGTCAAGTTTCCTTGACCACACACAGCTTTGGATGGTGTTATGCAACTTGTATTCATGCCAGGAATGACCTCGATTCACTAATATCCCAATAGCGTCTGTGAGGACCACAGGAGACATTTCCGATTTCAGCTCAGGAGTACGCGTGCTTCTGAGCAGCTGTTTGCCCTTATCTTTTAAAGTCTCTGAATGTAACAAATCAGGTAGTGACAGCTAAGAGGTTCAACCAGGTTAGCGGCCCACCTGGCAAATGGGCAGGACGTTAGCAGCAGGCAGTAGTCAATGCTTGCCTTCTGGTTTTAGCTGATTTTGTTTTCCTTTTTATTAAAAATATTTTTAGGCTGGGCACAGTGGCTCACGCCTGTAATCCCAGCACCTGGGAGGCAGAGGTGAGACGATTGCCTGTGTCTAGGAGTTCGAGACCAGCATGGGCAACTTGGTGAGGCCTCGTCTCTACAATAAATAATTTTTTTTTTTTTTTTTTGAGTTGGAGTCTCACTCTGTCACCCAGACTGGAGTGCAGTGGCCGCTCCCAGCCACCTCAGCCTCGACCTGCTGGGCTCTGGCGATCCTTCCGCCTCAGCCTTCCAAGTAGCCGGAATTACAGGCATGCACTACCACGCCCGGCTGATGTTTTTATTTATTGTAGAGATGTCTCGCTGCCCAAGCGGGTCTCGAACCCGCGGGCTCAGGCAATCCACTCACCTCAGCCTCCCAAAGGCGTGGGATTACAGGCTGAGCCACCGAGCCTGGCTCAATAAATAACTTTTTAAAAATTAGCTGGATATGGGGGCGTGCACCTATGGTTCCAGCTTCTTGGAAGGCTGAGGCGGAAGGATCACCTGGAGCCCAGCAGGTCAAGGCTATGGTGGTCGTGAGTGTGCCACTGTAATCCAGCTTGGGCAACTGAGTGAGATTCTGACTCAAAAAAAAAAAAAAAAATTTTTTTAAAAAAATTTTTTAAATCCTTATTTTTCTTTGTTCGGTTGGTGATCCAGTGCCACCAAAGATGCAAAGAACTACACAAAGAGTATGTCAGAAAAAGTATATTTAGAAAGTAGATCAGAGAAAAAGGGTGGGTCCACCTTTCTCAGATTGGAGAGGGAGCCAGATACTTGAGAAATGTTTGGCAGTGAATGCTGAAGGTTGAAAGCCTTTAAAGCTTCCCTTCTAATGGAGGCAGGTCACCATGGTGATGGCTTGGGGGTCTGTGTTCACTAGAGACATGAGAGGCTGATCACAATAGATTAGGTCAACTTGGTGCTTTATGGCAGGAAGACAAGTACTTTGGATTAAAGGGTAATTAGTACAAAGCATGTTTGAGGGGTTACAAGACAATTATCAGTAACTATCTCCAGAAAACTGGTTTTGTTTCTTGTTTAATGATTACAAGATGGGGTGAAGTAAGCTGCTGAGAAAGCATGACAAAGCTAAGCAATGTTACGATGGCTGCCACTCTGTCTAAAGTTACTCCATCTTGGCTTTTCACTCTTTCGCTTTAATTTCCTTTTAAAAAATGTTCTGTGTCATGTTCATGGAAATACTCTTTTAAGATGAGGTCGAGTATAAACAGTTATGTGGACTGAATGAGTTTAAACTTTGTCTGTTTCACTAACTGAGTAGAACAGGTTTTTCCAGCTATGAGATAAGAACCGACCTTACAGCCTTACTCAGATCAGATGAAGTAAAAGCCTGTAGAGCACCTGGCGTGGCTCCTGGCACATAGTAAGTGCTCCAAAGATTTTTTCCACCTTCCTTTTAAATTCTGCTTTAGTGGAGAACAATGTGGATCCACCTAGCACCATGTGAATACGTTTGTTCTGCAAAAAACAAAACAAAAAGAAGCCAAAAAATGCTATGGGGACACAAATAGGAATGAGATACAGGCCTTGGCCTCAAGGACTTAGTTATACAGGTAGTCGAGTAAGCAGACAGTTACAAGAGTGTGACACATGCTGTGACAGACACTGACGCAGGAGGGACACAAGCTGGTCTAGGGAAGTCGGGGCTTAGAGGAGACATCCTGAGCTCAGCCTCATGGAGCCTTCCTAAAACTTTTAAAAATATGTTATCAAATGACTACTGAAATCATGTTTTCCCAAGTTAAATTTCACACACTGGAGAGTGGATTAGAGTAGATAACTTCCGAGATCCTCGTGAACACTGAGATCATGTGAAAATTGATTGAATTACGGGAACTAACTTGGTCAAATAACTTGGTGAGCAAGAAAAAGTGAATTAATGTTAGGCGGGACTGACAGTAAGGCAAGGAAC